CTGGATCCGTGTGTCTTGTGCCAACGGAGGGTGCAGAGCGCGGCGTTTAGCCCTTCCCGCGCGAGTCCAGTGGCATGCGGCCGAGGCTTAAAACCGGGAGCCGTGACCTGGGAAGGTGTTTTGGAGGTCGGTTCGGTCCTGCGCCTGCTCCCTGGCCCGGATGGGCCTCTCGCGGTGGCGGCGATGGGTCAGTCCACTGCTGAGCCGCAGGCGTCTTGCCCGCCTTTCCGCCGCCCGAGCCTTTCTCTGTGGCTTAGCGAAGGGCTGAGCTTCCAAACTGCCGGATGGAGGTGGGCTTACAGGCCTGAGCGTGGACAACGTTTAAGAACGAAATTAGGAACGCTCCGTGTTTTTATGAACGAGCACTAAATTCAGCCTCCGCGTGCATGGCTTTTTATGGCTTTATCTGTTTGGGGCAAGGGGTTGTGGGTGTCAGTCGCAGCCCGGAGACCCAGAAGGTAAGGCTTCATGATTGACTCATCCAACGCTGTGGATCTGCTGGGGGAGTCCTGTTCCAGGGTGATTTCCAGAGGACTATTTTTAAAACACTGCAATTCCTTCAAATATACCAAAATTCTAGTGCTGCAATAGGGCTTTTGGAACACGGGAAAGAAAAGATCTCTTTGAACATTAGCAGTGGGACTGAGAGTACCCATTTTTGGATAGTTCTTGGGATTGCCCTTTCTTCTAGGAAACTAGGTGATAAAGAGTCAAAATTAGGCTGTTTCTCTGGATGAGATAAACGATGTCCTTTATGCTGCACCACAGAACTTTGTCGATGAAAAGGGCCTTGTTCAGCTCTCTTGGGTTGGACTTAGGAGAACGCCGAGGTCCAAGCCAGGCAAGTGGGCTGCCCCAGGTCACAGAGCCAGCAGAGCAGGGACTGGTCCCCCAGGCTCCCAGAGCAGGACTCCCCGCCCCGGTGCTGCTGTGAGCTGAAGATAGAGGGAAAAGCAAGCGAGACAGCCCCGGCCTCAGATCCACAGCCCTACAACTCTGCCAGGCCCTACCTCAAGAGCACACTGAAAACGCACCCCTCGGCATTTCTGATTCTCTTCTATGCAACGCTGGTTCCACGGCCTATCAGTCAGTGTCATACCAAAGAGCCTGTGCTGCGTTCTATATGTGGAGTGGCCTTGGAGATGGACACTCTCTTTGGACCAACCAGGTTCTATTTCTGTCTGATATAGTGTGACTGGTACACTGCAGTCACAATTTAATTACACTTTCTCAGCTTTCAACACAGACGAAGCAGAAACCTGCTCTTAGTCATGAAAACGTGGCCCTCCTGAGCCCCTGCCACCCACTCCGACCATCACCTTGCATCCCGTCGTCAAGGGAGAAAGTTGTCCTGATAAACCTGAAGGTGTCGGCCTGGGATGTTAAGCTAACTTGAATTGATTTTGCTAGATTGTATTCACCAATCTGTATAAATCTTTTTTTTGACTTTCAAATGAAGTGTTAGAAAAGATGAATAACTATAAAAAAAAACAGAAAGTAAGTTCACGTGAGGGATTCCAAAGTGTTCAGTTTTAAAAACATAGTGCGGATGTGGCTAAATCACACTGGCATGGGACTTTTTCTGTGTGAGGCCCGCAGCGTCGCTGCTTCTGTGACATAAGGAGCACCTGTGTTAACAGAGTCTTGTGTGTCATGGTGGAACAACTCCCATGCTGTCGACATGGTGCCCAAGTGGGCTGCTTCAAGACAGCCCAGATGTAGGATCCAAAGGTCCATTTTATAAGTTATGATTAGACATGCTCTATCTCTACAAAAATGTTAAAGTAGACAGCAACTTAAGCTATCACATAACATTTTTTAAAAGGAAAACACTAGTTTTGAGACCAATGTGATCCTAAAATTGATACGTATCATTATGAAAAATATTCCATTTGTTTTCACCTGTGCAGTAGAGTGAATTCACTTGCATTAGTCCAGGGTCATAAAACTTTTCTAAAACACCATAGACACCCACCAGTGCTTTAACCAGGGCAACTTGTCATAAATTGTCATCACCCCATCAAGAGTTTTGCATAGGAAATGAGAATGTCTGATTTGATCCTTTTTACATTGCTTAATCCTTGTCTCACCTTAGTTTGGGATCTTGACAATTCAGTCTCCAAACGTATTGATGTTGGCCCTTTCAAAGTTTCTTTGACTTCATTACAACTAAAGTCATTGCTTTAATTCTACTTTGTTGGCTTGTTTCTTCGTCAGCTGTCCGGGAATTACTCATTTTAAGTCTCGCCAAAGGAAACTTCTCAGGTGCTCCCGGTATAAAATGTAAGAATGAGGAGGGCACAGAATGATGATGTGCCAGGAATAACGGAATGGGTCTGTTTTTTGAACTCGTGTTGATAGTCTTTTAATACTCCAGAATAGTGTAACTCACCACTTACTTCTTGATCTGGTGGTAAGTGATTTTAAATGCTCTTCCCTCTTCTCCCCCATCACACATACACAAATATCCCTCCAAACTTGATGTTTCTCGTACCTAAACAAAAATCTAATATGGAAAACCAATTCCTGTGAAGCAATGATGACTGTGTTGATTAGAATCAAGGAACAATCTAATGAGAAATGCTCAAAACAAAGAGATAGGCAGTTACTCAAAAAAAATGATTAATTCACTTTTTGAAGCCACCATTTGGTAAACACTGTCAGATACCATGAATGCATTTTACATGTATTATTTTATGTTAGTCTCACGATAGCCCTGTTTTAAAAGGAAACTGAAGTTCAGACAAACTCTATAGCTTGCCCAATGTGACACAGCTAGTGAGTGACAGAGAGGGGATTAGACCCAGCTCTACCTGAACTGAAAGCTGTTGTCTCCAAAGCCTTTGCCATCAGAGGAATTCAGACCTTTTCAGTCAGTGCTATTCATTTAGATATTTATTGAAAATGTGTAACACATCAGAATCCATACCAGGGACTGCACAGAACACACAGCTGGAAGGGAGCCACGGTCCTTGCTCTTCAACCCTATGTTGCCAGAGAACGTGTTGGCGAGAGGGTGAGATGTGCACGTTAACAAGGAACAGACATGGAGTGGAATATGGCGGGTGCCACAGACAGATGCCAACGCTGGGAAACTCTGAGGAGGGAGAGAAGAATCAGGCTGGAGGGACGTTTCATAACTTCAGATGTGCCCATTTGCCCAAAATGTGCAAAGCATGGTTAGCTGTTGTGGCTTCATACACACATAAATGACAGATTTTCTGAGCTTGATTTTCCCCTGAACTTTACGTAGAAACTGGTGCCACGATGTCAGATATCCACTGCATCAACAAATATTGAGTCACAATTACATGATGTAATTTCTTGTTAACTAGATACAATTTTAGATGCAGAATGTTTGTCCTAGTACTTTCTTACACATTTCATTATATTACACACTTCATTATAATAATATATAACGAACTGGATAAAATAATGTTCTGGTTCATTTAATTATATTTTTATCAACTAAGTTTTCACTTATGCTATATGTACATATACCCACTTTCAAATGATTTAAAACATAAGTACCAGTGAAATTACAGTAAATATCATTTAATTTTTTAGTTACTGATAACTTAGAAAACACTTCTGAACTTGCAGCTACACAAAATTGTATTATTATTATTATTATTATTATTATTATTCATAACCGTCACTGACTGGTGAAGACTTAAAGTACTGGTGAGTAGATTTCGTCTAGTCAAAGACCAGTTAACAGAACAGGTCATCACTAAACAAAAGTGGAGTTTGAAAAATATTGGTGGGTCTGCTGACTGAAACAGTATTCTTTTCTTAGGACTTTTCAAAGGTAGACAGAGGTTTCCCCCAATTCCTATTCAAATGTTTCATTATGATTTGGCTTTTCTGAAGTTATTCCATAAAATTAGTTTTATTAACCAAGAGTTCTATTGAGCAGCACTTCCACACTCCATCCACCAGTCCAACAGTAATTGATTTTCACAATAACGTCCTCATGTCATCACAAGATCCCGAAATGTCTCCTGAGCAAAGAGAGACTGATTCGTGTTCACTATAATTGTATAATTTTATCTATAGATGTGTTTTGTTTTATGGGTCATCCCTCAAATGAACTACTTAAAAGTTTTCATTATTGTATATTTGATGCATAAAACAGATTAATCAGGTTACTGAAGATCCCATGCTCTGTCAAAGCCCCCTTAATACTCCTAGAAGACATGCCCAGGGACCCCCAACCAAGTCTGGTTTCTCACGGGTTCTCAGCTCATCGCCTGAGCAGTGATGCTGACTCCCCGTGAACCCAGGGAGAGCTTCCAGCCTGGCAGAATCACCTTCTCGGTCCATTCCCTTGAGGGCAACTCTAGCAAGCTTCCACCTTTTGGGGTTTCTTCCCCTCTCTCTCCGTCCTTGCCAGGACAGAGAAGTTGCCTGAGTAAAAGTGGCACTGTGGAGAGTAGAGATAGAGTCTGCCAAGGTGCCTGCGTGCCAGGGTCTTTCCCCAAGCCCTGCCCAGATCCTTTCAGATGAAGTCACTGCCTGGAGAATGCCCCGTGCTCCCCTCGGAACCATGAGAACCCAGGTCTGCAGTCTCAGACTGTTCCAGCTGACCTGGGCTCCAACTAAGCTCAGGTGAGTCCCTTCCTCGGAATCTCGCAGGAGGAGTTCTACAAGAAAGGGACTGGCCATGGTGGGAAACTGGGGGCTGTGATGGGCAGTGGAGGGAAACAGCCAGGGGAGGGAGGGGCACACCTCATCCACCGGGGTGCCTGAGTCATGAACATCTGTACGCCTGACCCTGAATTGTACCCCACGTTTTAAAAATAAAATTTAAAAGAAAAAAAAGTTTTCCCATGCCGAGCAGGCATCCATCCCATTAAAAAAAAAGAGCAAAGACTGCACAGGCGCGTGCCCTGGCCCTCCTGCGTCCCAGCGGCCACAGAGCTGCGTGTGTGGGGTCGGCGGTGCCGACAGGACGGAGCCAGTGACCACCTTTCCAGCTGGTTCCACTCCCCTCCTGTCCTGGCCGCTCACTTCCTGGGGCGGGAGGGGTGGCCTAACCCCAGGAGGTCCTTGGGCAAGCACACATTGAAACCCGGACAGAAACCCACGCCCACTAAACCCAAGTTTAGAACAAGTAGATTTTTTAGCGAGGAAAGAAAAATATTGAGGTGAAGTGTTTTTGCTCGTATGCACTTACTTCAGGGGAGTTGAACGTTTCAGCTCATGATTCCTTTCACTATCGTTTTCTAAACAAGGACGCACTTTGCTCAGGATCAAAGTGGAGCCTTGGCTGCTTCTGTTATGGCTTCTCCGCCTGTATAGCAGAGGGTGAAAATTCACGCTGCTTCTGCTGGCTCTTTCCTGTGCTCATAGACCGTTGGAAGATGCCGAGATGCAAATATAGCATGTGTACATATTCACATATGTTCACAGACACGTGCCGGGACAGAAGACAGTGGGCTTTCTGGAGGGAGTGCAACTTGGAAGAAACTAGCCCAGTTTTGAAAGTACTAGTCTTGGTGAGCAAAGACTTCCGATTGTGTTGACGCGAGCCACCTTTGTACTTCAGAACGTGTCTGGAGCACAGATAAACCAAGCAATTCAACATGAGTGGGACTTTGCCGGACTTCTTCAAAATATCAGAGTAGACTAGGCAAAGGGAGTTCGGTTTGCTGGTGCCAGGTTCTTGACAAGACTATTTTAACAAAACTCCCTCTGTGCTTTTGTTTTTGTTTTGATTCCTAGGGGAAAATAAGTTGGTGGGAGACCTCCTGGTCTTAGGAGGGGCCACACTCTACGGTATCTCCAACGTCTGGGAAGAATACATCGTCCGAACCCTGAGCCGAGTGGAGTTCCTGGGAATGATTGGTCTTTTTGGAGCATTTTTCAGTGGAATTCAGTTGTGAGTAGAAATAACAAGAAATTCAGATAGCAGAGGCTACCAGGACTTGGTCTCACAGTTTCAGTTCTTAGAGTGTCAAGGCTGGAAGCCAATCACCAACCTCCCACACAAAGGACTTATGAGATCTTCAAATCAGTATCCTTGTTACCAAATTTATTCTAAATTAAACAGGCTTATTACAAAGCATTTAATGGACTTTGAAGATAATTTGCAAGAAAGCGTTAGAAGTACATTGATTCTCCCAAACCAGTGAGTGGGCTATTACTTAGAAAAGTAGATAATCAAAGCCACAATTTGATGCACTTACAAAAAGGAACATTCTGTTTACTAGTGACCACCACTGCCAAAAAATGGGTAGTTTAAAATTGCCCCTTTTCCTGAATTGTACCCCACATCTTTAAAATAAAATATAAAAATAAAATAAACTCATTGCAAAAAATAAATACATAAAATAAAATTGCGCTTTTATAAATTTGCTCTTTTATTGCCTAGGATTTTGCAGGGTTGAGCCATATTTCAAATTCATCTCTTAGAATTTAGCATTTCTATTTTCCTTAAAAAGGAAAAGATATAATACAGACATTCACTAAGCATCAGAAAGCAACCGTTTTGCCATACTTTTGGAACTGGAGCAAATAAGTCATCACTGATGATTGCCTCTGAATTTGTTGTGAGAGGGTCACACAAAGCATAATTTTCTGTCAGTAAAAGCCAAACATTTTAGCTTCACAGAAGGGTAAAGGATGATAGTCTAACCTCCAATCCAATCTAGCCAAATCCCTTTTTACAGACAAGGAATCCTGACTTTACCAAATCTCTTTTTACAAAGCAAGTACTTTGTAATTTTTTGGTTCAGTGTCTAAAATTATTTATGGAAGATATTTTGGCAGCCCCCTAAACATGTTTTACAAGTGCACTGTTTTCAACAATCCTCCAAATTTCAGTGTCTTGAGACGCTGGTAAAAAACTTCACAGAAAACAAGGCACAGAGATGGGAAGACTCTCTGAAAATGATTTATTTGCGGTTTATTTTGAAAGTATGATGCATTTTAAAGCTCCTAAATCTGGTGCTTCAGCTTTGTGAGAGGAAAAGGAATTGCCTAGTTCAACTCTCCTAGTCAACATTTTGTAGATGGAGTGCTGCTTTTATGGGCTCTTATTCTTGAGTCCAAAAAATATGCTCCGAGCTCTAGCGCTCATTTGCTCCCATTGCGGTCCATTAGAGCTGCATGTGCCCTCTGGGGGACATTGCTGCCAGCATGATGGAGGTGACAGTAGAGTGTTTTTGGTAAATGGGAGGTGTTGAGGGTGTCCCGCAACCAGGTAATGCAGAGTGGATGAGGCCAGCCTTGCCCCTGGTCCTCTCCTAGGCAGTGCGTCTCAAGGTGTGGCACCAGCATCGCATGAGAGCTTTCCAGAAATGCACAGCCGTGGGTCCCACTCGGATCCACAAAGTCAGAATCTCTAGGAACGAGCCCCAGGAAATGCTGTGTTTTAGCTTGCTCTCCAGATGGCTTTCATGTACATACGTCTTTGAAAACTTCAACCCTAGAAATGCTCAGTCAGGGGCTTGATGAAACCTGCAAGCACAGAAACTTTCTGAACCTCACCATTTGCTTTTTAGAAAGCATCTGAGCAAGCAGGAGCAAAGGCTGTAGGCCAACTGTGGGTGAGGAGGCAGGGCAAAGGCTGAGCTCCCCGAGTTCCTGGTACACTCTACCGAGATCTTCAGGGGCGAGCCCGGGCTACCTCGTCAGACTTGCCTCTGTGTGACGGGAAGCACTTTCTGAAAGTCACACGATTGCTTCATGATTTGTATGAATATGGTGAGGGAAAAAAGGGCAGAGTGCATTCTAGTCTTGCTTATCAGGCCACTTTCTTTGAATTTGCAGAGCTATAATGGAACACAAGGAGCTGTTAAAGGTGCCCTGGGACTGGCAAATAGGTAAGAAATTTGCTCACCTAAGGGGCTGTGTTCAGCAAATCTGAGAAATGTGTTTGAAGAGAGACGGGATGAAGGTGGGGCACAAAGAGTGGATTTAGAGTGGTGGGGGACAAGAGAAAGTGATATCCCCTTATCACTTTAGGAATTCCTGCACACTCGAAGACACTGAATGGCATGATTCGTAATGTTCCCTAACGGAGCTTCCACCCATTGTCATCGCCAAGATGCCATCAGGGGAGACACAGAAGTGTGTTTATAGGTTAAAGACCAACTGGAAAGAAAAGATACCCCAAGGCAGTGGTAGCACGCAAGTGACAGCAATTTGCCTTAGCTGAGAAACACTAAAGTGATGTGACCATTGAAAAGTGCCACTCCAGTAAAGGGGAAAAACTGAACTTAACAGAAAGCCACAAAAGGAACAGTGTAATGCACACTGTGAGCCCATAAAGACCTTTTCAGAAGTGAGCAGTTTGCTCATAAGAAATGGTTAATTGATCTCCAAATGAACTTAGAAAAAACCAGACAGACTTTAGGCGAGTTAATAGTCATCCAGGGTGTCCCAGGCTCTACCTGTTTCTAAAATTACTTTTCTCTAAAAAGTATAGGACGAGGATTTAAGATTGTAGGTAATGTTCCAATGATCGATCACAGCAAGCCCTGGAAGGGACTGACATTTCATGCCCTTAGCAGGTATCCCCTCAGTGTCTGTCCGAGACTCATGGGTCCCCACAGTGAGCACTGAGCTTGACTGATGGGAATGCTTAGAAAATGTGTGCAGAGGGGGTGTAAATGGGGGTGGGGCACGGGTACGTACCATGTCCCACATGAAACTGGCAACTTGGGTCATCTCCAGCTTGTGTGAGCTTTGACACCACTGACAGCTTCAGCCAAATTCTGCATCCAAAAGGAAGAACAATTATGAAAAACTTCCCTGCATCACTTCACCTACCTATCCTCAGCCCTCCAGCATCTGAGGCCAACTTGCTCCTGACATCATTCCCTCTAAAGGTGCACTGTAGCTACAGAGTTGTGCCAGGCTCTCCCTCGGTGTTGGCTCCAGTGACTTCAAGGGCTGCCCAGCCCTGGTGTCTGTCCCAGAAACCTGCCACTTAATTTTTCTTGAGTTTTGCTTCAGGATATTATCACTAAGTGAAAATCAACAGAGAGGGGGCTGGGGAGAGAAGAAGGACATCTGGGAAAGGAAACAGCTGCAGGTTTCAGAAGTATTTGCCTTGTGGCCATCAACACCGGGAAGCCAAACGCCACTCGGGCTCGGTAGCACTTCACAGGCAGAGGTCCTGAATATAAATTAATTTGGCATTGATGGTCATAGCAATGATTTTTAAAAGTTCTCTCATTATGTGGATGCCATGTGACATCCACCAAGATTCTAATTCAGTGTTAGTTAAATGTGTCTTCAAAAGATTGTTTTTTCTGGGCCCTCAAATGCTATTGAAACGTCAGTCCCTTATAGTCAAAGATGAGGAAGGACAGTGTAAAAGTGACACATTACAAAGCCATTCATCTAATTCCTGATTGGAAACGAGGCCAAATAGCCTCCATAGCATAGTAGGGTGACTATAGTTAACAATAATTATTGTGTATTTCAAAATAGCTAGAAGAGATTTGGAATGTTTCCAACACAAAAATTTGATCACTGGTTGTGGTGATAGATATCCCAGTTACCTTTACTAGATTATTACACATTGTGTGCATATATCAAAATATCATATGGGCCTAATACGTACACACAGTTATTATATATCAATGAAAATGGGCCTCAAAGGGGAATCAAATATTCATCCTCAATAGAGTAGGGACACAGCTGCTGATAAACAGAAATGCCCTGAACACTTTTTGATGGGTGAAACCAACACCTTGAGTGCATGGAGACCAGAAAGTGAGGGGAGATGCAGGATTCTGGGCACCCCATTCCCTGCCCTGTTCCAAGACTTGGACAAAAATGGAAGGTCTACTCAGTGAGGGAGAGGGTGAGTAATTCCAAGACGTTTTGAGTCAGTTCACCCCTCCCAGCCATGCTCGAGCTGTTGGTCCCATCTGGAAGGAGGAGTCCTGGTTAGGGCTTAGCAATGAGAAACCAGAGCTCAAGTGGAATGGGGAACAAAACCCATGGACCAGCCACTGCTGTGGCAGCCAGTTCCCAGGCAGAAAAAACCCTACCTGCAGAGTGAACCTGACTGGCCTGCCCATCACTGGTAGCTAGTGGAGAAACAGACTAGTGCCTCTCTTACAGAGCAAGACAGAGAGTACAGACTCAGCCCCTGACTGCTGGAGATATTTGAACACTTTTGGATGGGTAAAATATCCTGCCCCCAGCAAAGGTCTCTTTAACATATGGAGACCGAAAAGCAACAGCAGGCACAGAACCAAGCCCCTCATACTCTGCCACGCATAAGCTAGGACAAGGACTGAAGTCCCACCCAGTGAAGAAATGGGGTGAGTGAATCTAAGATGCTCCAAGTCAGTTTACCCCCTTCCAACCAAGTATGAGCCATCACTCACATGCAGCAAGGGCCAAAACTGGTCTAATTTGCTTAACAGTAAGAGTGAAAACCTGCAGGTCACTGGATTGAGCAAGGAGCAGGAGTGAATGCTATTCCCTCTCTCACTGAGCGACAAAATTATAGAAAGAAAAACGGCCTGTCACAAATGAGAAAAAAATCAACAAAAAAACAAAGGCAACCCTCAGAGTCCTAAAGAGATAGCATCCAAAAAACTAGCCATCAGAACATAAACAATGGAAACCCACCACAACAACCTACCCCAGGTGACAGCCACAGAAATCAGAGATTGGATGACAAAAATCAACAGAAGCCAAGAGAAGCCTGCAGTGATTTCCAATTTTAGGAAGTAAAAGCAGAGTTGGCTAACCAGCCTATTCTGAAATAATTGAAATAACTCCACCCATGAAACTAATAACAAAGTAATAGGCATTGGGAGCAGGATAATCCAAGTAGAGGAAAGAATCTCAGAGCTTGAAGACCAAAATATAGAATTAACCAAATCTGTCAAAAACATATTTTTAAAAAGCTCAAAAAGAAGGAGCAAAGCCTCCAAGAAATGTGGGACTATGTCAAGAAGCCAAATCTTCACTTGATTGGTATCCCTGGAACAGAAAGGAAAATGGAGAACACCATGGAACAAGCATCCCATGAGGTCATCCAAGAAAACTTCCCCAAAATCATCAGAGACATAACCATACAAGCACAAGAAATTCAGAGAACCCCTGTATGACATCTTATGAGAAGACCATCCCCTAGACACATAGTAATTTGCCTCCACAAAGTAAGCATGAAAGAAAAAAATCCTAAAGGCAGTGAAATAGAAAGGGCAGATTACCTTCCAGGGAAGACCTGTCAGAATCACTCCAGACTTATCTGCAGAAACACTGTAAGCCAAAAGGGACCAGCCCAATTTTTAATGTTCTTAAAGAGAAGCAATTCCAACAAAGAATTTCCTACCCCACCAAGGTAAGCATCATCAGTGATGTAGAATTAAAATTCTTCCCAGACATCCAATCCTTAAGATAATATGCTGCCTCCAGACCAGCCCTTCAGAAGACACTTAAGAAGATGTTGAACACAGAAAAAAAAGGCCAAGCCCATCCCAAAGGCACACAAGAATTAACAGAGCACACAAAGCACAAGGACACACAAAAATGAAATGATACACTCATCTATAAATACAAAAGGTAAAAGGAAATAAAAAAAACCCCTATGTGTCCTATGACAGGGATAAACTCTCACATTTCGATAATCAACTTGAATGTGAATGGAGTGAATGCACCACTGAACAGACATAGAGAGGAGAAAAAGCATGATCCAACCATCTTCAGCCTCTAGGAAACTCATCTTGCATCAAAAGACACCCAGAGACTCAACGCTGGAGGCTGGAAAACGATCTTTCAGGAGAAAGAAAAACAGAAGAAGGCATGAGTAGCTATTCTGATACCAGATAAAGCAGTCTTCAAGACATCAAATGTTAAAAGGACACTGCATAATGATAAAAGACTCAATCCCCCAGCAAGAATTATTCATCCTAAACATAGATGCACCTGATACAGAAGCACCAGGTGTTATAAAATAACTGCCAAGGAAACTTAAAAAGGAGATTGACTCTCACAAAATCATAGTTGGAGACCTAAATACCCCACTAGCAGCTCCAGATAGATCATTGAGGCAAAAAACCAATAAGGAGATCTGGAACCTCAACTTGATGTTCAATCAGATAAAATTAATAGACATCTACAAAACACACCACCCAAGAACTACAGAGTATACATTCACTCCTCAGTCCATGGATTCAAAAAATCACTATAATACAATGCATCTTGGCAGATCACAATGGAATAAAGATAAATATCATCACCAGCAAGATCCACCCCCCCAGACTCATAAAGACATGAACACTAAACAACATGTTGCTAAACAACTTCTGAATTAACAGAGAAATAAAAAGATTCCTGGAAGCTAGCAAAAACAAAGAAGCATTTTATCAGAATCTCTGGGAAGCCATGAAAGCAGCGTTAAGAGGAAAATTCATAGCATTGCACACACACATCAAAAAAACAGAAAGATTACACATAAACAGCCTAACGTCACACCTAAGGGAGCTGGAAAGACAAGATAACCAAAATCCTAACTTCAGCAGAAGAATCTAGATCACGAAGATACAGTCACAATTGCAGGACATAGAAGACAATGATAGCATAGAAAGTACCAACAAGACAAAAAACTGATTATTTGAAAGGATAAATAAGATTGACAGTCCCCTGACCAGACTGACTAAAAAAATAGAGTCCAAATAAGCATATTTAGATATGCAAAAAGGGAAGTCAAAAGTGACCCTGAAGAAATTCAAAAGATTGTCAAAGATTAATATGAACACCTGTTTGCAAATAAACTAGAAAACTTAAAGAAAATGATGGACTTTCTGACATCAAATAACCTCCCAAGATTGAAACAGAAAGAAATTGAAAC